TGCCTGTCATACTGGTCACAGCAGTGCTTGATTTCTTTTCCTCATTCAGAATAGGTCCAAGACAGATTGCTTAGTGTTTTATTTTGTATCAGGGCATAGATAGTGATTCCTGAGGACACTGGCTTATCCTCTCTAGTGTTAACAGCAAATAAAATGTCAAAGAGTATGGCTGAGTTGGGTAACTGCATTGGGGTAAACCAAAATGAGAAACAGCAGATGGTGGCCAGGAGAACCCGTTTCAGGGAACTGTTGTCTCACATAGCTACTGTTCTAGTAATGATTCCTACCTTGATGTTATCTGGGTGATAAGCAATCGTGGCATCTTGCTGGGCACCATACTGCTCCTTGACAGGTATATAACTGCAATTGCACAAACTTTATTGTCCATATGAGTAAACAGGAACCTGCTCCCTGGCCTGCCTGAGTCTGATCCATATGTTTGTGTTATGGGGACTAACAGTGTACTGATATTTAGGAATAACTTGTTGACTGAAACTAAGTAATTTCGTTCAAAACCAGCTGAAAAGTGTTTGCGCAGATCAGGGTAGAGTATCTGCCTGTTCCATTGTGTTCTGCCTTTTTGTATTCATGCTGTGCAAAGGTCATGTCTTGGATTCTTCTTTCTAAGTCTGCCAAGCATTAGATCCTGCAAGAAGATACTGGTGTCTGTGTCTGATCGGAACCATCAACAGCTGAGGTCAGGAGAAGTGTTACAGCTCTACTCTGTGCTACCTTGGGCTACATTCAAATTGCACTAAGCAGGGTTTGGTTCTGTGTTTGGTTGGAGATTTCCAAAGATACTTTCAAACGTGTTGGTGTTTTGACAGGTAATGACAGACCTTAGTCATTGCTCACTTCTGTGAGTTGTCAGAGCAGGGTGCTATCTGTTCTGAGCTTTTAATCAGCTCCTTGGAGCCTTTCGTAAGAGAGGGGAGGTGGTCTGAGCATAATAAGTACTTTAATAGGTATTACTTTAATCCTTGGATCAGTAATTATGTTAATTAAGCACTCCTGGCATTAATTGCATTCTACCTACCCAGATTGCCCCCTGAAGTTTCAGTTAAGAGGTACTTTAGTGTTGGCCTTTAAGTAGGTCTCTAATACTGTAATTTCCAATTAATCAGTTACTGTTTTTTTTTTCTCCAGAGGCATGGCTGAACTCTGAATTACTTATACGGGACACTAAAATAAATCAAAATATCCTGAAGCTCTCTTATGTGTGATAAACTTTATGCCTTTCAGGTGGTTGAAAAAGAGTGGTTCTGTTTTTCAAAATGTTGATACCTAAACTCAGGGAATTGTAGTTTTATTGAACTTCTGGTGTATTACTGGTCTTGCTAAAGCTGAGCTGTGTATCACCTTAATACCTTACAAAACATGCTACTGCTGATTGCTAGATATGTTTGGGTGTGGAAAGATAATATACTGTTTGTTTGATAATAGTTATTATATTTGTGGAATTTCACATTAATCTGCCTTCTCTCACAGAGGGTGAAAATTATCATTTGATTTAATTGTTTGTGTAACCTTTGTTCAAACAGGCGATATGAGTGTGGTGCTGTAGGCAATCAGGATTGCTGTGCTTGGTGTATTAGTGTGATAGAAGTGCATGGCTTTTTGTTAAACTGATGGGAAATTAGTAATGCAGAATGTTTCTGTAAGAAACACTTGTAGAAGAGAAGTTTTCTAAACTAATTAAAGGTACTTGAGGTGACTAAAATAACACTACGGTAAGAGTGGCAGCAAAGCTTATCTAAGCTCTTCCTGAACTTTGTGAATCCTTGACTAACTTTTTTTTTTTTTCTAAATCACACTTTTCAGGTTTTGATCACAACAAAGACACCTGATGATGATTTCAGCAGTCAGTATGCTTTGGATAGCAATGGGCATATAGTTTCTAAAAAGCCTTCCAGTCTTTGGCAAGGTAGGATATAATTGTTCTTGTGTTGCACTGACAGAAGTATTTTATGTTTCTCTGAGGCTCTATTTGATGTTGAAATACCTGTTCTGTATCTGAAGGCTGAGTTTGAACTCTCTGCAGCTGTAAATGTTTCTTGCCTTATGTCTGTCAACTGAGAATGTGTTGTTATCATAAGAAATAATAAGTCTTGGATGTTGCTCTAAATGGTAATTATAAACTAGTTTCTTCTCTGGCTCACCTCTTCAAGCTGACAGCAGAAATACAGGCTATAAAAATTCAATGCCCCAGGTCCAGGCAGGTTTTCTGTATAAGCATTTGAAAGATTAGTTCAAGACCAAAGTAGGTAGCAAAATCCTGGGTTAAAGCAGGAAGAGTTGCCTGCTGCTATACAAAGGAATTGCTGGAAGCCACATGGCTATAGGGTGAGGCAGTCACAGTTTGTTCTAACCTGCAGGATGGGTGTGTCCCCGTTGTATTGTGTTTGTGTGGAAAATTAAAGGTTGCCCTCACCTCAGAGTTGAGCCATGGTGGTTCAGAGATAGTGTAGGTTTGGGGTAGCATCTACTCTGTGCTCTGGTCAGCTAATTGCAGCTCAGTGAAGACCACGTTCTGTCATTCACACTCCCAACTGGTGCACATTCTCAGAAGAAAAGTGATGTGCTCGTTTCTTGTGATGAGGGTTTGCTTCTGAGGAAGCAGTTGCAGCTTTTCCATAAAATCCAACTTTTCCTAGTTGAGCTGCGGCAGCTGCTTGTCGATATGGTGCCCACAAGCTGCCCCAAGCTGGCTGCAGCACTTGTGTCCAAGGGGAGCTGCTATTACCTGGCTCCCTTCCTCCTCAGCACTAACTGGGTGTGGGGAGCCATTAAGCCAGAAGCTGCCAGGGGCTTGTCATGGGCAAATGGTGACGAAAGGGTTGAAGCTGAGAACTCTTAACTAATTTTAATCGGGGATTCTTTTTAAGATTTAGCCTGTAGTGTTTTCCATGAGGCTGGAAAGCCTGTGGGTTGTGTTTCCTTGTCTTTTATCAAAATTGTTGAATGATTGACTGAATTCTGTGACATATATTTTATACTTTGCAATATCCTTATGGGCGAGGAATTTATGTGATTGTGTTGGTAGATGAATATTCCTCCTCTTACTCTATACTGTGTCTTGAACAGAGGTGTCTAGTTCTTCAGGTATTAACCTAAAGTAAATGCTTGTGGAGGGCCCTACAGAGCTCAGTGTTCCTTTGTCTCCAGATATGTCTAATTAGATGCTAGTCTGTTAACCATTTTATTAATAGAAGTTAATTTAATACACTCTGAAAGAGTCTTCAGTTTTATTCAGTGCTAATTCTTGCTATTGTCAGTGTGTACAAAAGAAAACTTAATGCTGCAATCATTAAATAAAAAAGGGGAATCGTGGCTCTTGTGCACTAGAGGTACTTTTTTGGGGAAGTTGACTGCTAATTTTGTCAATTTCTTCTCATGCTAATATAATCTAATTAAGAGTTACTAGGGTTAATTTGTGTACAGCTGCAAACAGACAGGGCTCTTGAAGTAACAATGAAGTTTTCTCTATCCCATCAGTTGTATGCTTTCAGTGTAATTTCTACTTGTTTTTTGTCACCTGTTTGCAGGTACTACAGTAACAGTCTTGAATTTGTTTAAGAATCTTCCTGTAAGAAAGCAGTGTTACTCAGCAAATAAAAAATGTAAGGAAGAACTGAAAAAAATCCAAGATCTTGTGATAGCCTATGGTATCATAAAACCAGAGCTGAGGATAACCTTATCACATAATAAGGTAATAATGACTTTTTCTGTCAGCTATCTTAAAGATCAGTTTCTCATTGATTTATGCTGTTCATCTTATATTTACATAAAATCATTAATTCCTAGGAATTTTCTTTCACCTTAGAGTTGTTTTGAACTTTGACTTCTTCACTTCATATATGTGTATTTATAATGGTTATGGATTTTGATACTAAATTTCTACAACTCTGGCTCAGATCTGCTTCTTGGTCTGTTCCAACAGATGCCTGGTTAGATACATGAAGTATAAAAATTATTTTACATGCTAGTGGTATAAGAATAATTTTGCATGCCAGTGGTTAGTAAAGATGGTGGTGGTGGTGGTCTGCAGTGCAAAACAGCAAGACCTTAATAGGCCACAGGGCCTAACCAAGTGTTAACCTAAAACAACTGAAAAAAACTCTCAGAACTCATTTGGTTATGCTGTCTCTCTGGGTAGACTCTCCAGCACATCCAGGTAACTTGCTGTGTTCTGAGTCACAACAGCTCAATACATCATGGTGGTTCTATTTAAAAAGGCAAAGCAATTTGCTACATTAGTGTAAGCAATGGTAACGTGACAAATGGGCGTTAGTTGAGCTAGTTGTGCTTTGTTTAGACTTGGAACAGATTCAGAGGCTGCTTGGAGGGTACTTTGACTTCACAGCTTTCTGAGCAATAATTTTACAGCACAGCTACAGAAATGACTCATTGAGCAGTCCTCCTTTACCTGGCCCCAGTTTAACATGGCTGATTTTATTGACTGTACTATTTTTAGCACCTCTGAGAGGAAAGGTAGGCTAAAAAGTTGCCACAAAGTAGAGAGTGACATCTGGTGGCCAGATCCCTCAGCAATTATTTTTCTGTTAAAAAATACATTTGTTTGTTGATCTTGCTCTTCGGCCTGTTCCTTGGACAGTTTTGAACAGTTACTCTATCAAGCAAACATTCAGACTGAAGTTCTGTTTTGGGGGGAATGGCAAATGACATTGTGCTTTCTGAGAAGACAACAGATTGCCCATCCCAGTTGTATAGCGTGCTCTGATTATATTTATTCATGTATTCTAAATATCAAAGTGTAGATCTTGTGTAAAACAAAAGCCTGCCTTGTGGCTAAGGAGCAAGTATTCCAAAGCTCAGTAAGCATAACTACTTTTAAGTCTTATTTCATTGACACTACAGAAAGTTTGAAACCAGAGATCTCTCCTTAGTTTGTATGTATGAAGGTTCCTGGCAAATCTAACAGTGCTTTCACATTCTTGGTCTTAAATATTGATTAATAAAACTACTTTCATCTTCTATTGGTGGTTTGGTTTTTGACCTTTCTGATAGGTGTGGTATAATTTTTCTGTGGTTAAGCAGGAGGTTTTATTTATCTTTATTGACCAATGCAAGTACTGTTTGTTGCCTGTAGTTTCTGTGGATATTTTTTTCCCCTCTGTGGCAACTGTAGCTTGTTATCATCTATTACAGGTCTTAAGTTTGATCTACTGCATTGGGAAACATGTTATTTATTGTGGAAGATGGTTGCTCAGTTGACCTTTCTGAAGTAGACATCTATTGCATGGATGCTTACAGAGTTTGCATGAGCTTTTCTAGTCTGGAAAGTCATGTTGATGCCTCTGGGTGCTGGCAGTGGGGCATTGGAATGTGACTTCTCAATAAGACAGCTGTGATTTGGAGGGAAAGTGGAATGAGGAGGAGGGGAATGACAATTTCACTGCTGCTGGCAAATTGCAGATTTTTTTTATTTTATGGTATTTTTATTTCATCCTCTTTGATGAGACTATCTTTTTTCTTTGTATGTTTATTTTAATACAATGGTAATAATGTGCAAGACATTGATCACGTCTTTTTCACAATACTTATTGCAAAAATGATATGGAGAGTAGCATGACAACAACCATTGCACATTGGTTTTGACTACCTGTCATGTTAGCTTCAGAGGTAAATTCCTCAGTAAACAATTTGAGTGGGTGAAACACATCAGTAAAAAAGAAATGCTGTCTGCAGGCAGTATATATTCGTTTTAATGACAGGGATGGCCTCCACATTTTGTAGTGCTGGCCTTATGTTCATTTAATTATTTTAGAGAAAAAGAAAAAAAGAAAGGAACTGCTCAGACGTGTTTCAGCACAAGAGGTCGCTCAGTAGCTGTTGCTGAGTTGGGAAAATCAAAGGCTAAATAAATGGTACCGTAAGTGTAGTTTTCCTGTGCATATGTGAATGCTTTTAAATAGTGTAAAAAAGTTGAAAAAGAACTTGGAGTGCAGAATCCTGTGTTTCTACTGCTGTTGTCATTGCAGGGAAAATAAGAATAACCCATTGCATCATACCTTTTAATAAATTCTGAAATTCCAATGCTTAACACCTTTCAACGGGTCTATGTGTGTCTGCTTTACCGTAATACCACAAAACACGAATATTCATTAGTTATTTTCCCTTCAGAGGCTAAGTATTATTGTAATTAAAATTATTCATTCAGATCAGAAGGTGTTTTTCCTATAGTGATACTGCAGTATCTATCTGTGTTAGAATAATACTCTACTCAATAAGGTTGTCTGATTTTTTTTTATTTTTTTTTTTTATTTTTTTATGTGGTGGCTGTTGGATTTCTGTTTGATATGTAGTAGGAGAGACTCAGCTTTTCAGAATGGCTTTATTTTTCATGGAGCTCGTAGATGATATATTAATTTTAAAAACTTGTGTATGCAAAATATTCAGAGGAGCTCTCCTAGAATCTTAAATTCTTGAGGCTGACCCAGTACTTTCTGTTGCAATAGAACACCTCAGGAGTGATAAGATCAATTTCTGATGCTTAGAAGAGCAAGAAGGTACGAGAGATGAAGTATTTCAGGAGATAAGGCAAGGTGCATAGAAAGTATATCTAGTGTATTTCAAAGGAATTCTGAAAATAAGTGACAAAATCAGGAGATTTAAAAAAATTTAAAAAACATTACTTAAAGCCCTGTGTTTTGTGAGAAATGAAAGAAGAATGGAAGAAAGGATAGCCCTGGCTTTATGGAGAAAGGATATAATGAGGCTGAAACTTATATAAAGTAAGTCTGAGGTCAGGGGTCTGGAAGTGGTTACCTAATTAGTTCTAGCAGAAACTTATTTTTCAAAGGCAGGCATCGTACTGAACTGTGTTTTTTAGGATGAACAATACATTGCATATCTTATTCCCACCATGTTGGGTTTTTTAATCATGTTAAGCCTTGTGCTTCACAAAGAAATTTCCAGACATTTTTCTTCCTGGTGTGCCACATTTCATACTTATGTTAGTTCAGATTAAAATATTACCATTAAGGATCTGACTTCTTTTCTGTGAAGAACCACAGTGTTCTTCCTGCCTTTGGGTTGTTTTCTAGTAAGTAAGAAAATAGCTGTCCTTTTATCAGTCATCCTAGGGTTCATTTATTGTTTCACTCTGTCAGTAGAATTCTGAGATGGGAAATACTCAATTGCTCTTTCTGCTCAGAATGTTTTGTTTGCTTTAGCAATAAATAATGAATCACTTTGCAGATCAACCTTTGAAGTACTATTGCTATTTTGACAACTTGGATTAGCTAGTGCTCCTTCTTTTTATGAAGGTTTATTCTGCCAACACATTCTTTGAATACTGATAATGTTGATCCTCTTGCCAGTATGGTTATGTTAGAAAGAGGTATTTTTCTTCTTTCATCACCATGTTCCTTGAAAGCATATTGAATAATGAGACAGCCAAATGGAAATAATTTACATGAGTATTCAGCAGGTTTATTTAAAGTTAACATTATCAGAAGGCGTGCTAAGGACATACCAAAGTCAGCTACCACTTCAACTGTGTCAAACTCTTCAACCCGAAATGCTGTGTTCTAGCCACCTATGAACCCTGGTTGTATTTTACCTGAGATGGGGCAGGGGGTCTGCCCTGGAACAACAGTTTTCACTCTTCACTGTTTAACACCAGTAGCCCTTAACTCAGTCTTATAAGCCACTGATGTTAAGAAATGCCTTTGTGTGTTGAAAGGCTGATGGTACGGAATACTTTTGTTCTAGCTACCTTTATTCCACAAACGGTGAAATGAGAGAGGACACTCAATAACTATACCTGTCTCAGCAATTTCAAATATAATAGGGCTGAACAAATTACGGAACAGGTGGTTTAGATGGTGCCTATCAGCAGGTCATACTATACACAACTGGTTCCATGTCTTGTGCAAGGCACAGGTGGGTCCTAAGTAGACTCAATAAATTTTCCAGCTGCTGTTGAGAAAAAATCTGCATAAGGGAATATTCTTTTCCAGTGGTTTCCATGTGTAGGATTTTGAATTCTTGGTCACACAGAGTTCTGCCTGGAACTGTCTTTTTTGTTTCTTGACAGAGACATAGGTCAGAACTTCTGGATTCAAGAGGTCTATTTAAAAGCTATTAGTATAATTGTGGGTTATATTATTCTCCAATCCCTGTTGTGGTTGGTGTTGCCCTAAAGGGTGCCACCTTTGTTTTGTTTTTTCTTTACATTATGTCTCCTCTTATTTCCAAAGTTGGATAATCTCAACCTGCAGTCTGTATCCATTAGTCCAAACCCAGTTTGTTTTCTGTATCCGAGTCCTCTGTATTAAGTGGTTTTTGAGATGGAGTAAGTGCCTTAGGGTAAATTTACCATTTTTAATAATGGAGTTGTACTTTGCATTCATTGATTTTTGCTTTAAAACTCTGCTGTAGCTGCACACTGAAAAGAAATCTGCAGTGAGCAGAAACAGCAGTACATAAGCTCTGTTTAATATAATGATGATAAATTAAGTCGCTCCCTAATCTGTGTCTTAAAATATAAAGAGGAGTTATGATTAAGAATCTGCAGTGCTCTGCAGCCAACATGCTTTCATGCTGACCTGCAGTTTAGCTCAGTCTTCCATTCGTTGTTCAGTAGCTCTGCTGAGAAAGCCAAACAGAGAGTTAATTATGGTGGGGTTTTTGTGCTGAGGACACCTGTCCACTAGGAAATGCGCTGAGACCCTCAACTCAATT